ATGAAATACTTAGGCCTATTTATAGTTGAGTTTTAAAGACTAAACTTATAAATAACCTAATATTTTAGGGATCAAACATGAAAAATAAGTTGGCCACCTACCAAAGAATTTTCCAATGTGTACAAGTTAGCCACCAAATATGAAATTCCCATATTCAAAGTTTGGCCACCAACCAAGATGAAATTTCCAATAAGTTGGCCACCAACCAAGATGAAATTCCAACTTGCCAACTTAATTTCAAGCCAAATCTAACAATTCGAACAAACTGAAGAACTTTTGTAGCAGGATGGAGATGATCCTCATATACCGTGAGGCATAACAATGACATATTATCTTGGTTGTGTGTATTTGATTAAGGACGAATAAAATTCAATTTTACTCGAAAAATAATCTTTTTTCGAATTTTGATTTATTCAAGTAAAACTATTGAATCAACTTGAATTACAGTTGAGAAAATGAAGTATTAATTAATCTATGTAAAAGATTAAATAGTTGCCTGTATTGATCAAATCAACTGGATTTTGTATGACCACTACCAACCTAATTCCTATACATTTCGAAATAAATAAAACTAAATCTAAATGATTGATAAAATTAAACGTTTGTGCTGCTCCTCGTGCTGTCCACAAGTTTGAACCACTGGCTCAAAGGGTCACATGTTGTCTTTATTTATGCATTTGCAACGATTTGAGATAATAGTGTTGTCTGACGCTACATCGGGACAAACGGATTTGCTATCTCTGAGTTTAGCCGAGAGATGCATCTTGGAATCGGATATCATTTCCCATTTCGAATTCGAGCCACTGCAAAAGATGTCGAGTTTTGCTGATGTCCCGGATTTGTCGGCTTGTAAACAGAAATTTATTCCTGTTACTAGTAAAGTCTTCTTGGGGGAGTAACTCCAAGCATAGGAGTCGGTGCAGGGACCTAACCGTAACCGATGGGAGAATGATTTCCTTGTGATACAAAGCCCCGTTAAGGGATGGAAGATCACTTTGTGCATTTTGGCTTCTAACAAACCTGGACCTGCATATGTCATTGCGGAACAATGAAAGATTTGTATCAAAGTTTCGGTTAACATCAATCTCAAATAAAAAGAAACTAATTAATGTACGTCGGCTTACCTCGGAAAGGAGCTTGGAGAGCTGAAATTCTTTGTATGAAGCTTGAATTCTTGGGTGCACACCAGTTATAATCCAAGACTCCGTAGTTCTCGTTTAACCCGATTACGCCTTCTCTCACATAATAGCTCCCGGTCAGTGTCCACAAGGCCCAATCTAGGTCAAGCTCAGCTGCCACACCTAAGAAGAAGTTCAAGTACCTATTGCCATTGACATTGGTTCCTGTTTGGTCAATCCCGAACTCGCTAATGAACAATGGGGATCCTTGATCAACCAAATACCCAGATGTCTTCATCATGTATGTCGTCACCCTGACACAAACTTCATTTGGGTTTCCGGTCACCCATCTTTGCGGTCCATCGGAGAATCCATACCAATGCGCCTTGAATACTAGTTTCCCACTAAACGTGAGTTTTATCGGTTGAGTCTGAATGAATGATAAGTCTCTGTTGAAATCAAATCCAGAAAGTATAACGAGAACATTCGGGTTTGCCAAGTGCACTGCTTCGGCTCCTTTTTGCATGTACTTATACCAATCGTTTACGTTATGTTTTGGGCCTCTGAGCACGTTCCTCAAGCTCATGCCGATCACATTGGTGACACCATTGAACAAGGTGGCCATCTGAGTCAGCCCGGTGATCCATTGATCCGGATTGAAGTACTTGTCACCGAGGAAACCATTGTCATCAAGATTACTGCATCACCAACAGGGTTTGCTTATGTGATTGTCTGAAATACAATACCAATATTTTTATTCAATCAATAAATCAATGCCGTAAAGTTTGAGACATGTTGTTTATTAATCGATGCTAATCGGAGAAAACAAGGATTTGGAAAATCTGTCATATCTGGTAAGCTTTGATGAGGGGAACATCAATGATCGAAGGGTTGTTGGCTAGGATTCTGGCGATGGATTCAACGAAGCCGAGTCGTTGAAACGATTGTCTAACAGTGAGAGATGCCAAAGAGTCATTGGTGACAAGGAAGACTGGCCAAGTGTACCTAACGCAGTTGAACCCCATTGACACAATCCGTTAGGCTATGGCATCCATCGGCTGCCTGCTGAGCCTTCGGCAAGCATGAGTTCTGAGTGAGACGACCAGTTCACGCACGCAAGCTTCACGCGTCGTCCTCCCTCACCAACAATCCATCGTGAATTCCTCGACAGAGGGAGGGGTGTGACGATGTGAAAGAATAGGAAGATGAGGAGAATAGAGGAGGAAACGAAACTGGTCATTGCTCTTCATTCTTTCTTGTTCACTGTTGAGGTTTCATGAGAATTCAAGATTGTGTTGGTGATTAATTAATTGGTTCTTTCATGTTGAGGGATCTTTCGAATGCGTGAACAGTCAAAACTTTTAATAACCAAGTATTTTATTTTTGAGATGAAACAATATTTAGAATCTCGACTTCATATTTTTAGGGTCTTAGGAAGAAAGAGTGTGTATGATCAAAGAAGGCATAGGGTGTGAAATATTTATGATAAAATCAAAAATCATGTAGGGTGTAAAATGTTCATGATAATCAAAGATCGTGTATGATGTAGAATATTTATTGTAATTTAAATTACTATTTATTTTATATAGAAAAATCATTATTTTTTTTGTTATTTTATATATTCTAAACTCTTCAAAGTGAAGGATAATATGAGCTTAAGCGTGCAGTGTTCTAATATTATAACAATAATAGTATCCATGACTTAATTTATTTATTTTATATTAATAAAAATGTAATTCATATAAGATACAAATCCATTCAATTTAACCATCGCTTAATGGGTCTTAATGGAGAATTATTGGATCATTGTTGTGTGTAGAAATTAAAAGAGTCTTGTGACTAAAACAGACCTGCAATAATATTAACCGACGCTTCTTCATTTACCTGTTTTCTATTTTGTCTCTATCGTCCCATGAATCAAGGGAAGCAAGAGAGAAGAAGAAATGGCTGAGAAATTGAAGGATCTAAGATGGCTATCCACCAAAAAGAAATTTTCTAAAAACAAGTGTAATCCCCATATCTAACACCATTCCCTGACCTCTCTTTTACACGTTTCTGTTTTCTTTTTCTACAAAAGAATTTGATTTTCATTATGTTTGAGGTTGAATTCTTCAGTCATTTCCTTGAGTCGGTATAATGGATTATTAACACCAAATTTGGTTGTTTTTATTGTTTTGTTTTCTGAAGATTAACTATAAAGTTTCGAAAAATGAGTATTGATGCAAAGGGCATTCAACTTTTTCTCTGGAGAATTATTAGATTTTCTGGAAGTTGTTCCTATAGGTTGGTTAGAAAATTTCCAGATGTTTCTGGGTTTTTGATATCTGCTCTTGTTATGTACATATTTTTCCCTCATGTTTTCTTATATTATATGTACTCTTCCCCTATCATTGTCTTCTCTATCATTTATATCCGATTTTATTTGAAAACCAAATATCCTGAATCCCAAAGGTTAAAGAAAGAACGCAGTGGTGAAAGATTATCTGCAGATGGGAAACTTGTAAATACATCAAACAAGCCTTTATTACGACCCCAGAAAAGTGTTCGACGAAATGCTCGAAAGGAGGTCGTAGAATGGGATGGAAAAAATAGAGAGGAAAAAGACGTGCTTTTTGTGAGAGGTACATATGATAGTCTGTCTAGTAAAACTAATTTCTTGGAAGAAGATTCAAAGCTTATATTCGATAGGTTAGGAAGTTCTAGTGTGGAACGTGGAGATGGTTCCCCCAATGATGGAATTGGCACTGATCGAGCACTCGGTGATCCGAATATGGTCTTTGATAACGAGACATCGAAACCTCGTAGGGTGTCGGGTGATACTTTTCAAGGGTCATCAGGGACAGGTCCTGGAGATGGTGGTGTTGATGGTAAGCTAGTGGTAAAAAAACCGGAAGAAGCTTGTGAAGCAAGGAATAAGGCTAAGCAGGATGATCAGAAGAATTATATGGATCTTGGGTTAACTGAGTTAGATAGAAAAAGAAGGCTGCAAAATTTAATTGCAAAACGTAGAACAAAAAGGTTGTTTAGAATGGCTATTGAGAAAGCTTGATAGGCATCCATAATGCTCCTCCTGGTCAACTTGCTCCAATTCTAATTGCTAAACACAACAATAATGGGATTTCGAGTAATCTCGCTGAAGATGAATCACCAATGCCTGGTTCGGCCCCTCCCTTATTTTTGCCTAAACGGAATTCATTTGACCTACCGTATGATCCACAAGAAGAAAAACCAAACCTTACGGCAGATGGTTTTCAACAAGAATTCATGGCTGCCAACCAAAAGGAAATGTTCTTCTGCAGGCACGAAAGCTTCCATCGCGGACCTTGGTTTCCATATCCAACCACTCAAAATCCAAATGATGCCGAGTTTAACCTGTATTATAGAGACGAGAAAAGGCTTGTTGAAGGAAAGTCAGGTAAGCTCAAGAGATCCTTGTTTTATCTTTTCCTGTTAATTTAGGCTGTAGAAATGCTTCTCTATTCATAGTTTCTTATGACGGATTGTTTCAAAGCTTTGAGGAACATAATCAAATTATTTACCATTACTCTGTGGAAACCATTTGTAATTAGCAGAAAGAATTTTCCCAAGGCCCTGCCTATATATAGTGTACAAGAAAAAAATAAATACATAAGAAAAACTTTTTAGACTGGACATAAGGGGAATAAACATATTTGAGAAGATAATTTGATCGTCAATTGAATTCCATAGCCTTTGAAACAATAATTTCCTTCAGTATGTAGTTATTTAATCAATGGAATTACTCCAAATTTGATATAGAAGCTTTATTATCCTTATTTTTAATTATTTTTTTAAAGTCTGTTGTTATCTAATGGAATAATTTAACATTTTGCTTTTTTATCACATAAAGTAGGTCACCACCGGCTTAGTTCCTCTGGTGTAGAAAATGATATTGATATTGTTGAACTAGATGAAGAAATCACAGTGAGGCAGTAAACTTATCCAAAGAGAGAAAGGAACAGATTATAGAAAGCCTAAACAATAGAACTGAAATAGGAGAGAGGATAGAGAAACCTCATGAGCTGGAGTCAGGATTAGATAGTGGAAGTGAAGTCAGAATGGAGACAGATTCAGTTAAAAACAATGATTCTTGCTACTCATCTTCATCCGAAAACACAGAAACGGTCTTGGATCAAACAATTAAAGCTTCCAGGATGCGTAATGATCATGTGCAAAGAGCCCTTAAACTTGAAATTCCTCCTAAGGGGAGAGCTATGAACAGACTTTCCTTTGATTCCAGCCCATCGCCATCTGAAAAGCGCAGGACAGACTTCAATTCATTTACATTAGGCGACAGTGCCATACCCCAACCTTTTCCATTGCTTCTGATTTGCAAGTTGAAGTCTCAGAAGTTGGTTCACCTCCGTTAACAACTGATGGAACAGTTTCATCCGGTGAGGGTGATTCAGTTATGTATGATGAGGATGTTGACAGGGATATCAATTTCGAAAATGAAGAACAGTGGGGAGGTCCATTTAACCTATCAAGAGAAGAGGTGAACCGAGAAAGACTAAGAGAATTAAATGATATTATTGAAGAGGAATCTGTTGAAGTTGCTTCAATCTCTCCATCAGAACATGAAGCCAAGAAAAGTTTGAATGGCACAAGTTCAATATCTTCGAGAATAGATATAACCAAGAATGGTGCATCCCATCCAACATACATAAACTGTGAAGCTCATCAAGGTTCCAGCAAATGCAGGCATGGTAATCTAGAAACATCGTACGAAGTTAAAAGTATCAAAGAATCTGGAAAGAAAGTAGAGGAAAGCCAACCTTCAAAGTATATTGAAGAAGATACTCGAACCTTAACTGAGCATAACACTAGAGATGCACCTAGTGCAGTTCAAAGCATAGGCAACTTAAAATCTGTTCCAGATACTAAAGTTGATCAAGATGCTGCAGAGAACAATACACTGGAACGAAGATTGCGTGATTCTATTGCAAGGGCTCTAAATCGAAGATTGATTCTTGAAAAAGTTTCCGTTAGCTCATCTTCATCTCCAAGGTCTGTATTACAAAAAAATATCCTGGCATGCCCAGTTCCCATATCAGGAGGTGGGCGACGAATGCAACGAAGTCTGTCACATTATGTTAGGGAAGATAGAGTAAGAAGCAATTTCGCTTATGAACAAGCACATGAAAAGTTAACTGCCAACATGCCCTACATGGCTCATGAATTGGTTGAGAATTCAATAAATCAATTAACCCGTAATCGCAGTCTTGAAACAATGGAGGTCAGTATGAAAGTGTCAACATTTCGTCTTCATCTTTTAATGCATATAATGAATCTTGAAATCATATAATGTTTGAGGCACATGAATTCAAGTATAAAAACAAGTTCGTTGGAATGGAGAAAATGTTGCTTCACTTTCCGAGTACCTTTGCTATTTTCTTTTGTGCCTACCCTTTCCATTGTCACCCCCTTGGACCCGGTTTTGTGTGGTAATCATAAAGCACATCTTCCAGCATGTTTTGACTAACAGATTTACTTAATCTTGGATGCTAAAGAACTGCCAAACCATCCAGGGAAAGTAATCTTAGTTCTACTGAGCATCTCGAAGGAAGATTAGAGAAAATAATTTATTATGACACTAGAATCGAGCCATTGAAATCAGATTATCCTAAAGCTATTGTAAGAGAAGAGATAATTTTCAGTCCTTAAATTTGGAAAGAGATCTGCATATTTGCTTACTCAGTTGGCACTGAATTACAACAACAATTTGGTACCTTTTTTCCCTGATTTGGTAGTAATTTATGTTTCTAATTTATATTTCTTTTCATGAAATGTTCTTGCAGCATATTTTTGTTACAAATGAAAATTTTACATCAACTATCTAGGCTGTAAACTGAAGTAATAACTGCATTCCTTGTTAAACTGTAGATGGGTCCATGGAATATCATCGAGGAAAGCAACATTGTCTTAAATATCAATAATTCAGCAGGCATTGGAAAGGGAAAAGGGAAGGAGTTGTCAGCTAGTGAAGGTGAATCCCTATTCTTAATCAGACCGGAAGACGCCAGCGGCTCCGAAAAATCAAATGAACAAGAAGCTGACATTAACGAAACAGAAACAATTGAAAGTGATTATACAAGAATTGTTGGAAGTGCAAAAGAAAAGGAGAAAGCTAATGAAGGTGAATCCCTACTCTTAGTCAGACCGGAAGACATCAGTGAACCTGAAAAATCAAATGAACAAGAAGCTGGTATGAACGAAACAGAAACAATTGAATATACAAGCATTGTTGAAAGTGCAAAAGAACGAGAGGTACTACATTAGTATAAAGTGAAACATTCATATTTTTACTTAATCTAGGGTTCTTTGAAGACAAAACGAAAGAAAGAAGAATACCTTTTTAAAAATACCAAATAGCTGCAAACTATTGAATCTTTTTTCCTCTAAAATACCAAATTAAGAGCGAGAATTAGATATTCTCCTATTTGCTAATTTGTAGAAGAGTTGTTTCCTTAATACTTCCAATCTATGCTACTTGGACTTTAAAGTGAGTGACAAATACAAGTATGCATGCTTAAATTTTTTGCATATATTAGGAGGTTAATGCTCCTATGCTCATATCTGATGACTATAAGTCAGGCATCAAATACAGGTACCTTAGGAAAAAAATTGAAAATCTCGGGTAGCACAAGAATCTAATTATGTATTGTCTAAAAATTAATTTCTGACATATATGCTTCCTTCTGTTGTATTCTTAGATGCTTAGAAATTTCCCTAGCTACTGCATTTACAATAGTCTCAAACATGTTTTTGAACTGTACTCAATGTTCAACAAGTTTTGTTACTGATCCATCCTTTTCTGACATTGAGCTGGAACCTTCCACAGAATTCTGCAGCTGAAGTTGATCGTATTTGCAAGGCTAATGAGCCCGTAGTTGATAATGTAACCAACAAAGAGATAAAGAACGATGTTCTTGAACATGAAGGTGCTCTCCAAATATTAGGTAAACTAGAGGCTGTCATTGAAACATCAAATACCACCAGGGAAACTAGTGCAGTATCTGTTGAAGATACTGAGCATGAATCCAAAAGATTAGCCGAAGCTGAAGCCACTGCAGGCCAAGCAACTTTAGCAAGAGAAACAGATAGCTTGAATAACATTAATAATGATGCAAAGATGCAAAATTTGATTGGTCAAGAAGGTGTCATGGATACATCAGAATCTGGGGAGGATGATCTCAAGGTCATTGAAAGCGTCCTAAAAGTTGATAGCATTACAAAGGGTATATCTATTGACCATGACATTACCGTCAAAGTATCAAAACTAATGGAATCTGAAGTTAAGGCTTCCAAAATGATTAAACATGACACTGGAATTGATCCATCAGAATCAGAAAAGGATAATGCTAAATCAGATGATATTGAAACCCTGGTAAGAGAAGAGCAATCCCAATGCTTAATTTTGGCAAAATATCCTCATACTTGTTGTTTACCTCGGTGCTGAATTACAACAACAAAACAGAACCTTTTCAGCTTCTGATTCATGAAATATCCCTACCACATCTTTTTTCTTTTTTTTATCGAATGAGAATTTTAAACCGATTAGCTGTGCTGTAAACTGGTGAAGTACTAATCGCTTTGCTTGTTAAATTGTACAGGAACCAACAAATTATCCAAGGAAGATCGTAAAAGAAGGCAACATTGTCACAACTATCAATGATTTAGCAGTCACTGATAAAGAGGGGGAGAAGTTTACAGCTAATAAAGGCCAATCTCAATTCTCAATCAGACAGGAGGGCATTGGGGGATTTGAAAGATTAAATGAAATGGAAGCTGATGTCAACAAACCCGAAGCAATTGAAAATGATTATACAAACATTGTTGAAACAGCGATAGAAAGACAGGTTATGCATTTTTGAGAAAAAAAGAAACAAAAGAAAATTAGATGTTATCCTATTTGTTCCTTCACTGAAGATCTGTTTCTTTAATGCTTAATCTATATTAATCAGACTCGGAACTAAATATCAGATACAAGTATGTGCTTATTGTATGTTCCCCTGCATCCATGTCCATGTCTGAATATGATGTGAAATGAAGAGTTTGGATAACATATCTTCTAATTATGTTGGTTATTAACTGTCTCACATGTGCTTCCTTTTGCTATTTTCCTAGCTGTTTTGAAAATTTTCATACCTGCTGCATTTATAATAGTTTCAAACATGCGATTTAGCCATACTCAATGGCCAGAAAGTTATGTTACGGATCCATCCTTTACTGGCATTGAGTTTGAACCTTTCTCAGAATTCTGCAGCTAAAGTTGATCATATTTGCAAGGCTAACGAGTCGGTAGCTGATAATGTAACCAACAAAGAGATCAATAAAGATGTTCTTGAACGTGAAGGTGCACTCCGAATATTAAATAGACTAGAGTCTTTCATTGAGCCATCAAATACCACTGGGAAAATTAGTGAAGGATCTGTTGAAGATACTGAACACAAATCCAAAAGATTAGCTGAAGCTGAAGCCAACTCCATCCTATCAACTTCAGCAAGTGAAACGAACAGCTCGAATAACATTAAAAATGGTCAAGAGGTACAAAATATGACTCATCAAGAAGGTATCGAGGATGCATCACAATCTTAATCTCAATTCCATTGATGGCATCCCAATTGTTGATAACATTACACATGGTACATCTATCTACCAAAACTGATGAAAAGGATAGCATTGCAGTGGCAGAATAAGGCAGTACACTCAATATCAGCACAGATGGAAACCATCAGGGGAGGGGAACCGGCTATGCTGAGCAACTTTTCACCATAAGCTGAAACTCTTGTCTTTGAATCAATCCATCAATCATCTACGGTAAATATTGAACACCTCCATTTTAACCACATACTAGGAATAGGATACATAAGATAGTACCGCTAAATAGTCAATTTAAAATGGCCCTTTAATTTAGCTTGACTGGAGAGCTTAAAAATTAGTTATTTTGTACTGAAGTTGTACTTTTTGTAGCAGTTTAACTGCTTCTTGGATAATAAATACAAATTTATCCAAAAAATGAAAACTAGTTATTTTAGTTTTATGTGCTTGTAGGTCTTCCATTTTCGCCTTGAACTGTGAATTTTGATATTCTTTTTGTATATATTGATGAAAACTTAATATTTAATTAAAATTATATATAGGTGAACAGTGTGGTTTACTTTTTACATTTACCATTTATGATGAAAGTTATTACAATTTGTTAACACTTAACATTAGGGTAAAACGCGAATGTAAATACTTTTGTTAAAAATATAAAAATTAAAAATTAAACATTTACAATGATCACGAATTTAGCACTGAAAAAGGCATTTTTATTTATTTATTTTCAGTATCTGGTAAAGGAAGGGTCATGCTACTTGTTGACCAAATTAAGATTAGTGAACGGCCAAGATCCAGTTATGTAACAAGTATGTATGACTAGTATATGGATAAAGAAGCTTACTAACCAAAGACTTACTATTTACATGGTTTATAAGGTGTAATGCACAAATATCTTATATATGATTTAGGTAAAATTGTTTGTAAGATAACGATTATAGATCGGTAGAGATATAAACGAGTTGAATCAAACTCGAGTATTATTGAATTCGATTTAACTTGAAAAATTTAAAATTAAGTTCGGCTCAACTCGAAAGATTAAAATTGTCAAGCTCAACTCGAAAGCAAAATAAAAAATTGAAGCTCAACTTTGAACTCGAAACATTCTCAGGCTTAGCTCAATTAAAGCTCAAACCTGAACCTTAAGTACATTAAAACTTTATACTGCATTTTTTAAAAAAAAACAACATATAATGTTAATATTAGTAATAAATTAATCTTTAAAAAAATTAATTTATTATTTTATCGAGAAGCTCGCGAGCTTTTCGAGTCGGATATCAAATAATACGTATCACCTCATTAAGAACTCGAGTCGAATCTATTCAAATCGACTGTTGATCGAACTTTAACTGAATCAAAATCGAATATGATATGTTTAGTTTCATTTACGGCCCATAATAATAATAATAATAATAATAATAATAATAATAATAATAATAATACTGCAACGACTACTTAAAAAGGAAATTGCTAATAGAAACAAATGGTAAAATACTTTATTTTCATTTCAAACAGTGTAATTGTGACTACAATGAAGATTTGGGACCTCTACATTAAAATCACATTCAGAGCTTTACAGCTCAAATTGGTATTATAAAGAAACCAAATTTAAGAGAAATAATAATAATAATAAAAACAAAAAACAAATTAAACCATCTTTTATTGAATACAGAGCAACAATCGTTGGTTGCTCCAAATGAACTCTTCTTCTTTAGTCATTAGCTTTCAGCCGTTGTATAAAATTTGCTTTTTGTTTTTGTTCCTTTTCATGTATTCCTCCAACCCTCATTGTCTTCATTTTGATCTTCAGTTTCAGCACTTTGGGAAATCACTTGGAGGTGGCAAAAGTGACTCATTAGGCCCTTTTCCATTGTCCACAACAAAAGCCATCTTGAGCCCCCATGTCGTATGCACTTCCAAGTGGCAATGCATGAACCAAACCCCTGCATCACAACACAAATCAATCAATCAGTCATTTCGGATTCGGATTATTTCGGGTCGAATTAATCCGTACTGGCCTTACCTGGATTATCTGCCCTGAACCTTATAGCAGTCCATCCACCAGATGGTACTCCAATGGTGTTCCTCTCAACAGGATCAACAAGATTGAAGTTTTTAGGATCCGTTTGGGGGTTGAAATTCCCCAGTCCCCTCCCAATTTCAAAGAAGTTGAATCCATGCAAATGAAGAGGGTGATTCTCTGGGGTAATCATCCCAGTATCTTGCAAGACTAGCTGAACGGTGTCGTTGTACGCAAGTCTATACAGCTTTGTTCCTTGTTTGGTGGCGAAATTCGTTACTTGCGTGCTGGTGAAGTTAAACGGAACCGGCGGATTTCCTGGGAAATCGCCGGTGAAAACTCCACTTATGTTGAAGAAATGCGCTTGGAGTAAAGAGATTTTCGGCATAACGAAGGTCACATTGTTGATGGAAGCCACAACACGGCTCCCATTAACGCATGTAGGACAAGGGTTGATACCAAGACCGACGGTGAAAAGAAGGGAATGATCGATCTTTAAAGGGACATTAGCAGGGTATTGTTTGGAATTCAAACTTCGTAGGGCGCTGATAAATTTGGTTGCCACCGAGGTGGCGTTTTTCGGAGGGGTTGATGTGATGTTGGTGGCGGCACTCGTGAGAGAGCCGGAGTATTGTAAGAAGGCGGTGGCAGTCACATTGTCAACCGCAATCGGTGCGTCCATGAAAGTTGAGGCTGCCACCATGTACTTTCCGCCTCCGCGGTTGGTTGCGACAAGGACATTCGTCGTCTGCCCCGGGGTTATAACAATGGTGTCTGTTTTAAAGGGCTTCACGTACGTGGCATCAACTTCCACAACAGTGAGTTGGTGGCCGGCGATTTTAAAGAACAGTTCTTCATTCAGTGCAGCATTGATGATTCGAAGCATGTATGTCTTCCCCGGTTTAACCGGCAATGTATACCCTAAGATGGATAAAAAAAAGAATCAACGTGAACCTTTTAACTTAAATAAAATGATGTTAAATAGTGGTAGAAAGTAATGTTGTTCTTCTTAAGATTTAAATTTGAGCAGTTGTATTTATCTAATATGTATGCATTATTAATCGATTAAGAAATTTTTTGAGCATATACTACCTATTTTACTTACCATTTGAAGGGCAGTCAGAGATGGGTCCCGGGTGGCCATTGATGGTGTGTGCATCCGAGACATTTGGGGCCAAGCCAGATTTCAAAGCTTCATTAATGACAGCTTCAACATCCGATTTCCACCATTCACCTAAGATAACAATCTCTTCCTTGTGGGGCTTGGGGAAAGGATAAGGCACATCCCGTTTAGGCAATATAACTATAGCACCATGGACGGTTGCCCTTAGCCACAGTATATGTGCGTGCCACCAAAGGGTGCCCCGTTGGCCGGTGACGGTGAAGTTGTAAACATAGCTTTGCCCTGGTTGAACCGGACATTGGGTTATATATGCCGGTCCATCCGCCCAACCCGTGCGTATTTGCTTAATCCCATGCCTTTGAGAAAAAAAGTGACGTGAATAAAAGATCCATAATCAATGAATTAATCGATGGTGGGCAATTTGGAGTCTCACCAGTGGATGGAGACATTGTATTTGACATGGTTGACCACTTTGATAAGAATTGTATCATCCTCTCTGGCAACTAAAGTGGGTCCAGGGTAGCGTCCGTTCACAGTGACAATAGGCTTGGTTGAGCACATTCTTGTCGTATTTTTCAACACCACCTGTAAAATATTTCCATTGAAATTGGAATTGTTTTATACGGTTATTAGTCTCCAAATTTAGAGCAATTTAATTTCGTCCACAGATGAAAGATAAATGCTTTTATTGGTAGCTTTTTGTGCGAAAATCAAAGTCGTCTGCTACAAGATTACACATATGGTTGGTGCGTTGGTCATCTTAGCAATTAAGTACGCAAACTGTAGTTTGAAAATTTAAGATTAGCACGTTAAGCCCGTTATAGAAAATAGCCAAAAAGAAAAAGGAATGATAATTGGAAAGCATTACGTGCATGAAACATGCAATGGACGTAGGACTACAAATGAAACGAGTGGAGTTTACAAGACATTAATTCGACGCAGGATGGACAGAAAGGTGGGTGCTATCTCTGAAAATTTTAAATTAGTAAATATTTTAAATATTTTCTTTATATTTTCAATTGATAATATATTTTTGTTTTTTTAGAATTTTATTAAATTTGTCCCGCTAGTATAAGGTCTTACATATGTTCCTTATTCGACATAAAATACATACCAATTTACTTCACAATGTAGAGAAATATTTTTCAGGATGAACACATATGTAAGAATAACATAAATTTTTCGTATGAGACGGACATAAATAAAATTTCAGGATGAACACATCAGTAAAATTGACAATTAACGTAAAAAAATTGGATTTTATGGTGGACACATATCCACCCAAAAGCACATACATCCGCCACTATATATATACATACTTGTACAAGTATAAACTATTTTTCCCATTTCTTCTTGCACTCAGAAAGTTGCAACTTTTAGTTAATAAATGTGTTTTTATATATCAGATCAAAACCCTAATCAAGGTAGCTGGAACGAGCAGATTAACTATTTAAGCTTCTTTACTAATTCCGTAAGGAACGAATTACGTAGAATTTTATGCTAATGGGTGTGAGTTACATAACTTATAACTTTGGGAGGGCAATGATTAAGGGAAGTATAAACTTTGGGAGGGAAGTATAACAGCCATTTGAGCAAAATATAACTTACATTGAACTTGTAGTGGCGAACCATGCACTCCACTGAAGCTGGAAACCATAAGCAAGCTAAAAGCATTAGGACTGGAATCCATGGTTTCATCTCCAGTATTTTTTTTCTTTTTCTCACTCACTCAACGCCAACCCCAAATTAATGTTTTCTTTTTCTCTCCAAGAATTTGGTTTGGCTGTTTCTTGGTGTACTGATCTGGTTTATGAAGACCAAACGAACTTATAAAGAGGCAAAAGCTTCGTTTGG